GTTAACAGACCCTGTTGTATTTTCTTGTATTTTATTAAAAGACGGTACACCGCCATCTTGTGTCGACTAAACTGACTTGAACGCACCTGACGTCGTAATTACGACTTGTCAACTCGTAAGTACGAACGTCCCAGGACGACTTGAACGCAGCATTAGTTCATTCAACTCAGAGTATGTTCCTGGTTAAGACTCAAGACATTCTCAACAGAGCGACGAATCGCTATGGAAACAGACGCCACGCTGTTTCTTCTTCTTTTGTTCAATGGTCGTTTACATACTTAGTGCATATCGCCACCTAATCGATGGTTGTGCAATCATTTAAATGTTTTTCCCGTTTAAACCTTTAATCCTTGAGAATATGAATTATATTGTTTGTTTGATGCTAATTATATATTAAGTCATAGCAGATATGTATTTTGATTTAGAATTTAGACATTATAGAAAATGTCGATCCATGGTGTGAGATGATAATATAAAATGTACTAAATAAATATATATAATATAATATAATAAATTAAACATTACCTTGTTATAGTGTTTTATAATTTATACAGATAACTGTTATATATGCCAATAAAATAAATAACCATATTAGAATAATATATTATCTTATTTATTAGCCTACTTATATAAACACTTCATCAGTAACCTATACAAATATATAATATTACATATTGTAATATTATATAATGTTGTGCGGCAGTGCTATCTGTCACGCCCAGTAGATCACACGTGCGCTGATAGCGCTGAAGTGAACTAACCTCCGGAGCAGTTTATCTTCAGAGAGCAAGGCTGCGTTTACACTGCAAGTCTTAATGCACAGATCCGATCTTTTGGCACGTCTGTTTACATTCACTTTAGACACGACTGGTATCCGATATCTGTGTTAATTCCCACCCAAAAGGATTGTCTGCAGTGATCGCTTTACTATGCACATGGTAGACCCTCGGGTTTTAAATGGCAGTGCTTTTAAAATTATTTATATAATTCACGTCGAATGGCCATTATTATTTGCCAGCATGGACAACGGCTGTCATGGATGTTAAATTTTAATTTGTTAGACTATTTTATCTACAGCTCGTTAGAGGTAGAATTCTTTAGTCAAATAAAGATGATATTTATTTAAATTAACTCGAATTAAGGAGAGAGAGAGAGAACGAACGCATGCACCCATGTGCGAGCGAGCGATTGTGAAGCATTGCAAACAAGCTTGTCGGTTTAATTACAAAAACTGCTAAGTTATCACCTCATTGCTGAGAAATATATGGCTTTTAGCTGTAATATTTTAAAAATTCACGGGGCGGGGGTTGAAAACCAGGTCCTGAATGTGCAATTTCTTACCTATAAAAAGTTTCCATCTTAATAAAATGCGAGCACATACAGCACGCCGGCATTAAAACGCCATTAAAAATCTTTATATCTCAATAAAATGCGAGCGCATACAGCACGCCGGCATTAAAACGGCATTAAAAATCTTTATGAGCAAACTTGTCGCCCTCGCATTGGGAGTTCTGTGGAGAATCGGATATGTGTGTTTAGACGTAGGTCGGATATCCAGATATCAGATGTGAATCCGATTAAAATCCACATTTGGAAGTGGCTCAGATCGGATGCAA